TTTTTGTAAGTTTTACAGCTTTTCTTACTAAACAGTTAAATGACAGAAAAGCATAGAGGGAGTTTCACTGGTCCGACCCACTTAAGATCAAAGTGGATGTAATGTGAGTTTGACACCATGCTTTAGTCTAATGTTATCGAAATACTGCAAAACCTACCATACAAACTCATGGCAGTAAATCTGGGCACTAATACCACAAAGTTTACAGAGTGGGTGTGGACAGGAAAGCTCAGTTGCAGTTCTGAAAGTTTTCTGTTGGGAAATAAAGCTTTGCTGTTTAAATTTAGCAGCTACAAACTAAGAAAAAAATAAGAGCCAAATATGATAAATGTCCAGAAAGTCCTCATGTATTCACATATTGGTGTATGTTGTTGTTCAGTGTTTGTAACTAAATCACTTTAGCACTTCATCCAAATATGCATTTATGCTTATGTAAACATCGTGAAGAAGTTTATCTTTTCTATTTCAGTGCTGTAAGAAACTGAATGTTTGAATGGCTCAGTGTCTGCACTGTGTGTTGGAGCAGAACTGATTATTAACCCTGTTTTCTTTCCACCTGATCTTGCTTATGCAGCATCAGGTGGCGTTGGCGGCGTTCGAACAGTCCTCTCGCGCCAGCACGAGATCATACTGCGCACAGTGTACCCACATGCTGACTCAGAGCTGCGCAATGCCCTTTGTGAGCAGCTGGTGGCGCTGTTGGATATCTACTTGGGCAGTTTTGTGGCCCAGCTTAACTCCCTGCAGCAGCAGAGGACCCAACAGGAGCGCTACAACAGCCTGGAGATGGAGTACAGCCAGCGGCGCTCCGAGCTGCTCGCACCGCTCTGTAAGTGGAGATTAAAATGTGAATGATCGAGTCTTATAGATTCACCGAGTAAGATTTAAATCTTTAACATTAAAGTGGATTTTTGTGACATTTAGAAATTTTGATTTTTTTTTTTTGTTAAGAGTTTTGTTAGATGAGTAAAAATGCTGTAATAAAGTATTCCTTTGGTAATTCTTCTTTTGTATGAAGAAATAACTAAATTTTCTTTATTACAGGAAAAAGCTTTGAGTGCTCAAACTGAGTAGAGAGATGGTCTATTATTAGCAGTCCAATTACAGAGGTTGTTGCAGTAAACAAACTATCACTTGAACGTGACCATGTCACAGCTCACACACACACATGTTGTAATCAGACACGTGGACACTGTGCAAACTGAAGTGTGTTTATGTTTCTTCTGTAGGTTTTTCCTTTCTGTTTATTTATTTTTAGTGTTTTGCATTGCAGTGGAGCTCGGTCAGTACCAGTGGGTGGCAGCGTTGGCTGAGAAGTACTGTGACTTTGACATCCTGGTTCAGATGTGTGAGCAGACAGACAACCAGAGCCGCCTGCAGCACTACATGGCCAAGTTCGCAGATCAGGTACACAAAAACTCTGCACGAGTTTCCTTACATGTTATTTACCATTTTTATTTTTTATTTAGGATGTAAGGACACAGTGTTTTACGTTGTGCAGGATTGTAAAGGCACTTTGAGGCCATTTTACATTTTAACCCAATAAAAACGAGGCTCCTCTGACATCTGGGCATCCAAAAAGCTAACCCTGACTCCTGAGGTCCAACTGTTCAACTCCAACATGAAGTCAGTACTGCTGTACAGGGCTGAAACCTGGAGCACAAGCAAAACCTCAAACAGAAAAACTCAGACATTCCTAAACAGCTGAGAAGGATTTTCCACATTCGCTGGCCAGACACCATCAGTAACATCAACCTATGGGAAAGAACCTGTCAACTCCCAGTAGACGAAGAAAAGATGGTGCTGGGTAGGGTACACTCTACGCAAACCGCCAACCAACATCACCAGGCAGGCTCTCAGGTGGAACCCTCAAGGCAAGCGAAGGAGGCGCCGCCCAACAAGCACCTGGCGACGACACCTTGAGGCAGAAGTGACAAAGACGGGCTACACCTGGAGCCAACTGGAAAAAATGGCTCAGGACAGTATTTACCCCGGCCCCTACCCTGGGAGGGGTGACGGGCAGCAGCAGTAGTTGACTGTATCTTTTATTTAGGCTTAAAAATATGCAGCCATCTGCTAGTTTGTTTGTTTTTAAGTTGATTTCATTGACTATGAATGTAGCCTAGTTGTTGGCACCAGACCTATC